AATTGAGCAATGAATTGATTATAAGGCGTTTTTTCTTAGATGATTGTTTCTTATATGATTGCTACTTAGAAGAGTGCTTTTCAGATGATTTATTAAGAGAAGATTGAAATAGTTGTGTACATGGCCTATTTAACGATCTTTGAGAATCAAAGTATGTTTGGTTAACATGCTTATGATATGAAAAGTTTCAATAAATATCATATTCCACTAATTTATTCTTTTTATTTTGCATTTCTCCTTTGGTTTTTATTTTTTGAGGTAGTGAACACATTGAAATCATAGTAAGGTAAGCAATTTCATTCATCCTATTTTTTAATGCTCTTTTTCCTATAACATCCAATATCTGAACATTCTCCATAATATTTTTATTGCAATAGTTGTGTACGCCTCTGATCCATCATTTGTGTTAGCCTGAAGTTAACCTTCCATACTTAATTTCTTCCAATGGATATGATTAATATCTAGTGATATATAATCGTCATACAATAAAAATCTCCTTAACTAACTAATGAAAAACAACTCATATGATGTTCTAAGAGTACACCCACAAATTTGGTTGTCTGCTGTCACATCCTTAACCCTAAAAAACTTTTTAGCAATGCATGAGAAAGATTATTTTGATACCGATTTATGTAGATTCCCATAAAAGGACTAGTATGTGTGTGTGTTCAACTTCATAACAACTCTTTTGAAAATAAGCTATAATGTTGCCAATTTTAACTTCAAATTATTATTCATATCCTCCTAACATTTGCACAATTATAAAATCAATACAAAATTTAAATACTAAAAATCATACATATTAACCATGGTGTTGCTCAAATGCAACACTCATTAATCCATGCACCAACAAATATATGCTTATAAGAAGACAACCATATGTCTTTCATATAACCAATGAATTGACTGGAATCAGCACATGTTTCCTAGAGTCGTTGCAACACCTGATGACATTCCACTTCATCACTTTCTCAAACAAGATCAATCCATTGTTCTTCTATCGCATCTCACATATCATGCACAACATATTATTTGCATTTTACTTTAACATTTTTGTTTATGTGAAATCGAAAAAGAAAATTAATTATACTTGGAAATAAAACTTCAGTTTCTTTCATCAAAGTAAGATCTCTATCCGTCAACATCACTTGTGGATATAAACTTTCATTCCTAAATATTTGTTTCAACTTATTCAATAACCAACACAAATTCTCCATCTGCTCAGATTCCATATACGCGAGGGTAACAGAAAACGTCAATTGGGTTGATGTCATATCAACAATTTCAAACAAATGTTGTCTATTTTTGTTTATCTTGTACATGTTATCCATAATCAACAAAATAGAAATAAATAAAAAATCAACAACTTGATTGAACCTGAGTGGACCCAAAAAATATCTCAAAACATGAGTCATCTATTCTTATACTTCAGTAAACATAATCATCCATCATCTTAAACAAATATTATATCTCGTTTCTATGACCTTTGATTTCTTTTTGTAACTTATTCTTATGTTTATATATTTGCGTGGTCTGAGTGATATTCTTAGGATCTCATTCTTACAAGAACAAAAGTATATGTTTAGGTGGAGCGTGACGCTTTGTCAAATGAAAAATATGGTTTCGCTCATCTAGACTCAGACGACCAACAAACGCATGACCTTTAAATCTATCTGGTAAATCGTGGTTGTGAAATCCATATTTTACACCAATCATCCATCCTAAACCATCTTTAGACGGTGTTGATTTGATTTTGAATGGACAACCATGTTTTTTTATTAACACTTTGTGTTACACTATCCGCTTATATTTTTTTCACAACCAAATATTAATGTGTTGAGTCTCCTTGTCTTTTCTGTTTTGATATTTGAATGAGCAATGATGACAATTATTGTGTTTGATCTTAACTTCCTTAATCCACCTTATTACCCTTTCTCATGTATCAAATTTTGGTGTAGTGTACAATTCAATTCGGTGTTATATACACATATCTGATTTTTATCGCATACTATTAAAAGGTATCCATATGTATGAAATATATAAAAGAAAATAAAAATTAAAAAAATAAATAAATATCAATTTACTTATAGGTGAGTAATTGAGTGAATAAAATTTACATAAACTGAATTACTTATAACTATGTTATTTGGTGATAGCAATTAATACCTGATAATAATTAATATTAGTTAACATTTCGTGATAACAAATAATACCCAAAAAGAATTATTTTGTAAAAAATAATATTTAAAAAAATTAAAATTGTTTTTTATTTTAAGAAAAACATTTTAAAATTTTCAAAAATAATTAAAATATTTTTTTGTTAAAAATTATTTTTAAGATTTTATTTTTCAAAAAGAAATTTGATAAAGAATTAAAGTATTCTGTTCTAAATATTATTTTTTTTCAAAAAATAAGGTCTTAAAAAGATGGTCAAGTAATTGGCGTAACTAATGGGATTTTATCATGTATTTTTTTTTTAAGAATTGCTCTTTTAACCTTTTCAATAAGTTCTCTTAGTAATTATTGGGGATTGTTTACTATACTTCATACTTCATGTTTTATTCATACAAGCGAAATTTCTAAAATATCTCAAAAATATATATTTTGAACTTCGTACACACTAAAAATATATCAAATAAGAGTAAAAAAGTACGAATTTTGAAATTTGGGCGCACCTCACATTCCACAATACCACAATAGCTCTGTTTTAAAACCACAATCAAACCAAAAGTAAAAAAATTATGGATTTCAAAATACGAATTTCAATCTCCAAACACTTTCATTTAAGTACTTGTGCCCACACTTTCAGCAAATGTAGAGCTCTCATCTCTCACATTGTTCCGAACTTTCTCTCAATTTCTACTAGGATGCACTGAAACATATCATCTTCATCAAATTTATTCCTTTTCATTCAAACTAAGCACAAATATCTTTCACATTTGATAAGTTTCTCATATCTTTATTTTTTTTGTTTTTTTAATTTTTGTGATGCATGCAATTCTTTAATAGGTTATAGTTATGATGCATTATGATACATTTAATAGAAATGTACAGTTTGTTTGTACTTAATAAGATTTTGTGTAAATTTGAGACTTTGAGGGTTAGGGTGCGTACAAGAACGCATTATGCTCTAGTGCATTTTAGTCCGAATTTTGAAATATAAGCCCTTACAACGGATAACAAAATTTGGATTTGTATGTTTTCATTAAGTTTTTTAATTTTGTTTGTTGATACATTGAATCCTCTTTGATTTTTACATGTCTTTTCCTGTTTCATTATAGAAAAAATAATTGATGAACAATTAAGATACATATATGATCGAGTGACCAAACATGTTTCAATGTGTAAGGCTAATGTATATGCACGTGATCCACATTCTGTAGTAGGATCTGATGTTGCACTTGTTAGTTTTTTAAGAGCCCAGAAGACAAGTCATTACTTCCTATATGCACAACATGGTGCAGTTCACGTGTGAGATAAAGAGGTAGCATAAATATTTCATTGTTCTTTTAAACATTTTGTTATATTAATTAAATTGTTTGACGTTAAAATTTTTTTTTTTTAGTATCATGACACGTTGAAATGTATAAACTATGATAAAAAGATATCAAAGATGTCACAATATGATGAACCATGATTTCAGGAAGTTTTAAAGTTATTTAGGGTGAAGGACTTTGCTAGGACTAAATATGGTTATGTTGAACATGATCTATTTTTTTATTATGTTGAATTTGGTCTATTTTTTGTATTTATTGAGAGATGACACACGTGAACATCGTCATTTCATCTTCCCATTAATGGGATGACTATCATACTTGATATAGCATGTCTCTTACATCCTCCCAATCACATGATGGTTGTTAGATCACTCTAGAATTACTAGACCTAAAACCTTCAACTTGATGATGGCATAATTAGGAACTGAATCTGAATCAGGTAAAACTCAAAGAATGATAGAAGACAATAGAGAATGTCAGGCTAGATTCTCATATTTGAATTTCCATAGGATTGGTATTTGAATTTCCATAGGATTGGTAATCACTACGTGAGATGAGATGTAATTGAAGACTACTCTAATTATTTTATAGCATCCCATGTCCATTGTGAAGCCAATTAAGTCCATTGTGAAGCCAATTAAGTACATATTATTTGGCTTTGGTCTTTGTGGTTGACTTTCTTTGGGGCTTGACCCCTTGTTACCAAAAAATATATATATATATCACTAGATACAACCCCATTTGGTTCGGCATTTTGCTATTTGTTTAATCAAAAGGCCAACTTTACAAACTATGGAATTTTAAAAAATAATAACATGTAGTAATTAGTAGCAAAAGATACAAAGCATAAGATCACGTGGGCTAGGCCATATTAAAATAGATAAACAATCAACTTAGAGAACAGTTGGCAAATTGTGCCATTCACTTTGGATCTACCAAAGATGGAAAATGGAATCAAAATACATTAATTGTCTCCTATCTTCCTATTTTACTTTAAATATACACCAATCATGCAATAAAATCCGTTATATTCTATGAAGTGTCGAAATTTACCAACCAAAGGCTATAAAGTTTCCATCAAGAACTAAGTGAAGTCAACTATATAGATCAACTTTTGCTATAATATTTCCATCAAGAAACGTTCTTCTATCCGAATCGTTAATCTCAAAAAAATTCTTAATAAACTTCTCATAAAAAATACACAATTGAAGATGAATAAAACTAATAAGCAATATGCATGACACCAATGCCTTTACCTTAACATAATTGACACAAATTTACAAGCTGATATTTAGATTACTAGCTAAAAGGTTGAAATTTCAAACCACGAGTTGGCCTAAGCTTCTCAAAAGAAAAACAACCGGCGGCAAAATATTGTACTTCACCTAGCATTCCCTGGTACAACAGGATACCATTATCAGTTTAGGTTGGATGCGGAGAATTTCTAGCAAAATATAGTACATCACCTAGCATTCCCTGGCACAACAGGATACCATTATCAGTTTAGGTTGGACGAGAAGATTTTCGAGTAACTCTTCTCAAATCAGTGACAGCTGATGATGATTGAGACGCACTAGGGCCTGCTATATCTGCTTCATGAGTTCTTCGTAGTCTAGTCCTTGTTCGTGCCCGTCCATTGTCATGCTGACTTCCTCTATGTTCATTGAGCTCGTCCTGATTGCTGCATCCAACTTCGTCATCCTCAACAATCATATTGGCTCTTCGCTTCTTTCCATTAGAACCAGTAGCTCGTTGGCTTTGCCTAGGTCCATTGTCATCTTCAGTCTGTACGTATTCTGCTTTGGGTATTGTAAACGGCCATGAAGTGCCACAACTTGGGCAAACTTTTGCAGCCTAAACACCAGTGAATAGCAGCATTAAGCCAGACAGGAACTCCACATTTCTAAGATGGTAAAAATTGAGCTAGACTTCATACCTTTATCTGGGAGAAAAGTTGCTTCAGGCAGTAGTGATGAATTCGTACAGTACAATTTTCATTTTTGCACAACTCTGCCTGTTATGCAATGACCGATAAATTGTCAGATTTAGAAATAGCAACAATGTGGGGAAAGTACACCAGGTACTAACTACATAAAAAATTTCCATATAAGTTCCTTGTAATAGAAGCAAACTTGTTAATGACGTTTAAAATGTGATCAATAAGTAAATAACCATATCAGTAGTCTTTTTCAGCATTTTCCCTACAATTTCCATGGTACAGAATATTGAAAACCCAACAGAAAAGTAAATATAGAAATCTATGCTGATTCAATATAACTACAACCAATGATGTGAAAAGGAAAAAGAAACTGAGAGTAAGACTGTAAAAATGTAAAGAGGGACTACCTTAATTCCAGCTTCATTGCAAACTTGACAGGATGGAACATCATTACTTCGAAACCAACTGCGGAGATCGAGGAATGATTTTACACCAAGTCTAACATCACCATCTGTGGTCAAATTAAGCCACGAGTCCCTCACAAGTTCATTTAGAGTTTTTTCCTTTTGAGACAAATTAAAACTCTTAAATGCATATGGCACTTGTGGTTGGCTTCCATGAGATTGTTGTTGGCCTCCTTGAGACTCTGAACCGGTCCCAATTGTAACCTGCACATAGCCCATGAAATTTGAGCACTACTGTCAACAATCATAAACATGTAAGTTGTATAGAAGATTTTCTTATAACAATAAAACTGCAGCATGGGTCTATGTCGCTCTAACTCTCTATAGTTACAAAATATTTAAGAGCTGCTTATAGAAAAACAGTATATTGAAGAGCTGTTACAATAAAGCATTCATTTTCATAATGACGTCTAGGATGTCAATCCTAGATAGCATCCGCCAAAACTGGGTAGAAGTATAACGCAAAATGACAATCCTAATTGATGAAGAGAGACAACAAGTGGCAGGCCTGTGTTATGGAGTACAAGGGCAATGGCCCTCACAAAGCCAAATAAGTTCCCTTGAATATATTTAATAGTTTTGTTGTGCCCCCATAAAGGTAAAATATATAAATGAATTCTAAGAGAACTATTTATGATAACTTTGACGGTGAAAGTTCATACAACATTTTCAAAATATGTAAATGACAATTGTAAATGTATAAGCTTCAATATTTTGGAGTTTTTTTCCATAAGATTATATACTACATACTTCTTCGTAAAAGTTTATACTGTAATGTTTTTCTTTATAAAAATTTATAGAATGCTTTCTAGAACTGCTATTGAGACAACGAGTAAATTCTCAACATGAGCTGGGAAGAAGATTTGGCAATCAAAGGTCTGCCCTGCCATCAAATAAGAGCGAAAGAAGTATAGAATCGAAGTTAATGAGATGAGAATTGGCAATGTTATTAGAGGAAAACTAGGGACTATATAATAAGACAATTTACATTTGATTGCACCTATTAACAAGTAGATTCTCACTATGTAGGGTTGTTTGGCCCTGTCCACCCATTAAAAAAATCTCATGTATCTGTTTTGTAAATTGCAAGTGCTTTACATTGATATGTTTGATCATACTTCACAGTATCAAAGACTAGTAAACTAAACCAAAATTCAATTTTTGATGAGCAGAAAAATGTAGGCAGGTGAAGATTTATAACCTGGCTATCCAAATTAAGATTGAGAGCCCCAATGGTGGAGATAAAACCATTTGCCGTGTCATCTTGAACTATTGCTTCAATCTGTTGTTTGCCATTAAAAGAACATAATAAGCGATTAGTCTCAAGATGTCATAATATCAAGCACCAAACTACTAAACTGAACAACCAAATGATATTGTTCACATAGAAACATGCATATTCAAAAACATCCCCGGCAGCTCCTCTCCCTATCAATATCTAATTCTAATGAACACAAGCAAATGGGAGAAGAGGTCCTAATCCAATTAATAATTGTTGAAACCTCTCCTTGGATCTATCCGTTTGTCGCTACCTATTAGTGAGTAAATGAGAATTGATCAAACACAACATGATTTGCAGTTTATGAAAGCTTCAGAACCTTATTTCTGACCAATCTTCTTTTAACTCTATGATCTTGTACACATGGATAACATTTGCACGCTGCCAACTCAGCAACCCCATCTAACATACAATTAACATCCTAAACTTAGTCTGTTTTGACCTTAATTATATTATTGACCAAAACCATTTAAAATTTTCATCCTCAAATTTCAATATTTCCTTATAAATCATCCCTATTAAGACATTTACTACAAATGATAGACAGACTAACCAAAAGAACTTCACCCATAGTGGATTATACAAGGCAATTTATAGAGCCTATTACTTCTATCACACACATATGCAAACAGAAAAACGGAAGCAAGTTCAATTACACTTACAATAGCCTTATAAAAAGCAATTTGTGGAACTGTATACTTCGTCCCAAGCTTTGATTGTTCGTCGGAAACAGTATTAACAACGCCATAATAAACATGGCCATCATATTGATCAATGCAGGCACGTAACTCAAAATTAGCACAAGTTAGAGCCTTGTTTATTGCGAGAATAAATGCATCAAATAGCCTACGATCAGTGCCTATACAAGAACAAACCAATACAATCAAAATCATGATAAAATGAAAAGCAAATAGGACCAATCAAAACTAAAAATTAGGAAAATGAAAAATAAAAAACCTGGACTTTTCTTAGTGAGGTCCTCAAACATGGAGTGTATGTCTTTCTCCTTGAGTGGGCCTCGGGACAAGAGAGCTTGAACTATGACATGGTGTGTTGGGCTTAACCCACCCGACATGAGAAACCCTAGTGTGGAATCAAGTTTGGGAAAATTAGGGTTCAGGGTTTATCTAAAATCTGGTAGATATTTTGAAGAACGAAAAGTGATTGGTGAAAGTTTTGAATGATTTGAATGTTGAAGCAGTAAGGTATTGGTGTTTAGAGGGAAAGAAACGGAGCATGAGCGGTGTGAATGGTGCCGGAAAAGGAGAAATTAGGGGTTAGGGAAGTTGAAATGTTGGGTTGGCGAAAATAAGGAAGGAAAAGAGAGGGAAAACAAATAAGGATATTTCTCACCGAAAAATTGGAAAAAATAATAAATGTGGCTCTCGCGGGATAGAAACAATGCAAAAACAAAATGAACAGATTATTCGTACTTCTTTTTTTTTTTTTTGATTTTTTTGTTTTTTTAATAAATAAATAATTAAAAATATTCATCTTAATATACTTTTCATTCTTTTTTATATAAATAAATTTATATTTTTTTAAATTTATTAAATAATTAATATATTTATAGTTTATATATTTAAATACATTATTTATTCAATAAACTTAAAAAATAAAATTTGTTTATAAAAAAATAAAGGGAGTAATTACTAGCGTGTCTATTTAATTTTTTTTTATTTCATTAACGTGTATATGTCTTTAATAATGTTTTTCACATATATTTCTAAAAAAACATATTACTTTAATATAATTATTAAAAATATAAGTAAGACGATAAATATTTTAGTAATCTACCATAAAAAAGACTCGCAAATCAATATAAACAATAAAATGTTCTTTACGCCAATTTAATAACGTAAATGTTAGATTAGATTAGATTGTGACCATTAAAATTTATTAAACAATAAATAAAATAACTTTTTATCTCTCTCGATTGGTGGAAGCTAATGAGTCATTGGTTATGATAGTTGTTTTAAGAGGTGCGCACTAGATAGAATAAATTGAAAAATAATTCGAGTGATTGACTTTCAAGACTTATGATCGGCACACAACTAGAATACCTTCGTGTAATCCCAATACCTTAAATGAAGTTGGGAATGGGCAACCTTTAAATGCTTTAAGACAACCAGTTCAAAGTAAGAGAAAGGTAATCGCAATCCTATACTTGTGAACAGACACTCGTAAAACAGGACTAATAAGTCATCAAAAGAGTTGCATATTCTCTTCTCCAAACCCACACAAGAACCTACCAACCCAGAGGTTCGTCGTCCATGATGTAAACATCACCTATTTTCGTTTCAGTACCTACCATTTTTTCATCCACCCAACTGTACTTAGTTGCATCGACTGTCTCCACCAACGTCGCGCCTCTTTGGGCCAGGTAATCAACTTTATAATTCCCGTCGAGTGTGATCCAAGAATCTACATTGGGCATGCCCGAAGCTCCAAATGGGTCCTCACTTCAGCATTGCTAGGTTCACAGTTATTGGTTCTTAGGTAAAGTTGGATGAAATCGTCAGCGCGCTCCCCCATTCGCTTGATCGCTTATATTTCCTTCTCAATCAAATCGAGAGGGGCATGGGGACCTCAATAGGATTTTCCTCTTCGGTGTCATCTGATAAAAAGGCTTCAAAATAGTTGAAAGAAGAAGCTCGTTTATCAAGGTAGTTCCTTTCTGAATCAAAATTGTTAGATATGGATATAACTTTTGGGCCTGTGCAATCATGAACAAGGGGAAAAAGGTGAAAATCGGGGGATAACCATTCTCGCAGTAGATAAAGTATTGCTCTTAGAATCACTCACTAGGTGAATAGTACTATCATTCATCTTTGCTAAAAAATAAGAAATGTTGAAGGTAAAAGTTTGAGTTGAGAATGATACCTGGTTAGAAGAGATTGACAAAGCGAGGTGAATGAAGAAAGGCATAGAACTTTATCAAAAGGTTATAATCGCTTTGGCAACACTCCCTAAAGCTTTGCATAAAATGCATTACACCTCCCTAAACGTTTGTAGAAGCCTCTATGACACTCCCCTTTACTATTTCGAATAAGACCACCACACCTAGTCCCATTCATGTCATTACTGGATCTGTCAGTGTTTAACTTCACCCAACCTTCTTCATGAGCTTCCCAACACACTTGAACCAAAGAAGTATCCCTCTGCACAACCACTTCCCTACTTGTTTGAGCCTTATCATATTAGGAATAATATTATTCCATAACTGTCGAGCTCTCTGATAATCTCTAAAAACATGAATGGAATTTTCACAAACATAGCCACAAAAATCACAATACATTATGTCCAAACCTTTCAAACTTTTTTGTTAATTAGTTAATAATCGATCATGCCCAAGTAACCAAACAAACAACTTAATACGCTCCTACACATTGAGGTTCCATATGTTCTTCCATATTTTGTTATCTTCCTCCTCATCCACCTTCTCCATTCGACTATGCAAATAGCTAACTAAACCACCTTGGTTGCCCAAACCGGATACACTAATTGTATCCTTCTCATTCTCACTACTTGGCGGAGGAAAAGCCTTAATTTTCTAAATTAACATGACTGGCATCTTAGGGATCAAGATCTGCTAGTTTCAGTTGTAACACCCCACTTTCCGACTTGACAATTAAATAATAAAACATGTATAAAAACAAAAATATTCACCAAGTAGGATATTACTCGCATAATCCAAAACATTTCGAACCATATAATAGTAAAAACAATTTTTTTGACAAACAGCAGAATTACAAAAAGAACCTTTGACATAAAAGTCTCAACAACATTATTAGTTGAAAAATGGTTCATCACAAAACAAAATAAAACAGAAAGATACACAACAAAACAAATATAGGACAACATGTTCCCCTTGTGATACGTATTAGAGTGACTCCAACTTTAAACCCGAACGACAAGCAACTAAATAGGTCTAACATCATCCTTAATCTCAAACTCCTACTTAGATACCTAGTTATTTGTACTCCAGTGGAGCACATGCATAATAAAATAGTAAAGGAGTGAGAATACATTCAAATAATAAATTGTGCATAAACATTCAAGATAGATTCTTGCATCACAGAATCAGAAAACACACTAACTACAGGTATTCACATCTCACCCATATTACAATCATCCAATATAATGCAACAATGACTCGACTCATGCTCGTCACAGTCCCCACAATGAATCGGACTCACAACTTAACTCTATATGCATGTGATATCGAGTCAATGTTTGGTTTTTTTATACAAATTAATCCTAATATCTGTGAACCCCAAGCCCCCACTATGAGCTTCAAGCCCTCACTCAAGGCTTGGGACAAGCCACTAGCCTCACTCTAAACTAGCAAACACGCATCTTTCACAACAACGACACATATGATGAATGTCATATAAAGTGCAGTACAACCTCACTCTGACTATACAAAATTACTCAACACAACAGATGCAATACAACCTCGCTCTGATTGTAACAAAAATGCATTTTTAGTGCATATAACTCATACATATCTCATCAACACAATCAACATCACATCATACTTTCACTCTTATTACACATATTCACAAATTACACATAACTCACAAGTATGCATAGTATTACTCAATTAATTATATAAATTAATTAAACCAACTCATATTAATCACAAAACATCAAACAATAGTCAATACTCGACCGCCCGACAAAACAATTCTCAAAACCAAACTCAGCAAGTCAGAGCACACCTTCCGACTCGATTATGGGTGACCCGTCACTAGGGTGACTCCTACCATCCTTCCCAGAACCCAACACGCCAAACTAGTGACGACTTGGAAAGACTACGCTCTCCTGGAGGTCATGACAACCTCCCCTTCATCTGGCTGACGCCCATCAGCGCTCCACAACGCATGACGCATAGAGCGTCATATGGGTGACACCCGTCATCCTGGTAACAAAAACATAAATATGTTCTACTATAGGAGAACTTGCGAAATTCACTCAAAACAACTCTAAAACACCTCTAAAAAATCCATAAACAATATTCATATGATCATAACACAAAAGCATGTTAATTCCTATTAATCCAACATGTTATTACATTGATTATCTAATAAAACTCATAATTTAATCATGTTTCAAAACCCCAATAAGTCACACAATTATACCCAATTCACAACATATACCCACACATCATTTAACATGACAATTTATCTCACAAGACACTACTATAATGTAGTTTTGTGCGTTAGCTTTCCAACACTTCAAATCGCGCCTTAATCCGAGTTCCAAAACTCAAGTATGATATAAAAAACCGTATTTGAACAGGGTTTGTCTGGTCGTGTAGGGTGAACCGTAAGGCTGACAACCGTCACAAAGCTGGACGTAATGATGGTTAGTTTGTCACAAGGGTGACGTCCATCACCGATGCAGAATGTAGAACTATTACAGAATGGAAAATTATGCGTTTTTTCACCATTTGAGGGCTTTCGGACCTCCGGTTTCGATTATGTAAAAAGTCAAACGCTAAAAACTTGACACACAATATTTATATAAAAATTATACAACAATTAACACATATTATATAGACCTAAAATCAAATAATCATAAATCAATCATGGAATTTAACATGTTTTGTTCATCAAATTCACAACAACACATGAACGCACCTTCATACCAATTTCATCAACAAGAACACATAATTTTTTCATGGAAAATAGTGCATGAATTTACAAACACATCATGGCATAAAAATAAAATTATAATCAATTGTTCATCATATAACACAAATTAACAAAAGAGAGAAATTTCTATTGGTGATTAAGGGAATATCTCTACTCTTTCATGAATTAAACACCCATGGATGAAAAATCTCCCTCTCGCCTCGTAACTCCAGAAAAATTCAGAAAAAAAACCTTAATTGATTTCTTCTCTCAAGGCCTAACACTCTCTTTTCCAAGCTATTATCTCCAAAATCATTTGTTTTCACGTCTTAATGAAAAAGCCTCTCAAAAACTTAAGTTTATTCTAACTTTCCAAATATATACTATTTTATTTTAATTCCTCTAAATTGCACTTTTTACCCAACGGAAACTCAAT